CTTATTGTCACTACAGATATTTACCAGGGTGCACAGTAAAATGTTTTATCATCTGTGATACTTTGTTATTGCTTCAATGACTTGCACAAATGGGTCGGTATTTCACAGCAACTTAGAGAATAAGTTTATACTAAGCTGCACTTTGTTCATAAAGGATCGCAGAGGAAAGCCTCATTCTTCTGAACCTTGATTATTTTAATTCTTATTCTCTGAAAAATTCCTATTTAAACAAAAAATGATTACAGAATGAATTGCCAAGGACATATTTCGAGAAATCCAGTGCTTCTCTTTGTGGCTAACACTAGGGATAGTTTTTCCTCTTTCTCCTTTCTCTATCTCCCTTTTTACACAAAGAAAACTTTACCATTACAGTCAATGCATGCCATCAGCTATGGATGCTGCAAATGAAACTTTTCTGAATGCAAGCCTCTCTCAACATCACACGTGCAACACTGCAGCTCATAGATGATCAGATCTGTATTCCCTTCGCACAAGGTATTCCTTAACCAAACTTTGCCATTTTGGAGACTGCATAGTATATGTCATGTACCCAAAAATGCATTTCCATGTACACTTCAGTGCTGGTGTTATCCTCTCACTTCTGTCAGGGTCAACAGCACAGAACAAGGGGGTTTTACACACGTTTTGTAGTATAAGGATGTTACTGGTTGTATCAGCTAAATGAAATACAGTATGAAAAATAAAAGGGACAGGAAAAGAGAGAGATGAAACTACAATGGGTACATTAGGGAGTAAATGTATCCTCTCTACATTTTCATTTTATTGTTGAACCCCTTCAAATAGCTAAATTTAGCTTTCTCATTTCCAACATTTTTTACATGAGTAGTTTCCTGTGAGATTATAATTTTTTTCACCTGTTTTAAAGCTCTTAAACTCTCACCTTTAAAACAATTCTTGAGTAGTGAAAAAAATTCTGGGCTTAAGTACATTACTTTAGCCTCTAATTTTTCCAAAAATTTTCCTATGCTAAATTCTGATAGTGATTGTCTGAAAAGCAGATACAAAAGTGAGACCTGTGCTAAACATATAGTTATCAAGGGAGCTACAGTTATACAGCAATAATTATCATGTGAGCTTAGAATTTTGGTTTCACATCCCTTTTGTTTTTGCTTCATTTATTTTGATGACATATTTGAGTATGAACGATCATATGAAGTGCCTACAATGTTTTCAAATAACAGTTGTATTCACATATCACTACTAATTCCAAAGAAATCACTGTGTCACTAATCAGTTTCTCACAAATAAAATCAATGCAAGTAGTCACCCATTTGCTGACATCTATTCAATACACTTATTTAAGGTATAGTTAATACTTTCACCACTATAGCATTTAGAAACCTACTTGAAACAGGGAAATCCTATCTGCTGAGTAGTATTAAAAATACGCTAAAGAGCTCTAGATTCATAGATGAGTCAAGGTCATTTCACTGCACAATGCCAATGCTACCTATTTCTTTGCAAAATCTGTGTCAGCCAATTTGCAACCAAGCTAAGGAGAGCGGAGCTGCCGGAAAGACTCCAGTAATGGCTTCTATTCACCTAGCCTTCAAGTTAGATACACAGGCAGAAGTTGTTTTGCCTTCCATTTCTGAAGCCATTAGTTTCACTCAATTAATGTAATTACAGGTTCAAAGGCTCCCACCTTCGCTTCACAGTTCCTCAGCCTAAGTGAGGTTGGCCCAAATGTGTATTCCATAGGAAGCAAATGGTCTGGATCTCCAGCCATTCATAGATATTCTGCTCAGAGAAGTCATTGTAAACTGCAGTGTAGCATATGCTTGAATTAGGGTGAATCTGATCACTTCTACACATACTTCAGCATATTTTACTATAATATGAACATACACAGGATATAGTATTACAGCTTTTCTCACCTATCTCTACGGAAATTTTGAGAAAAAAGGACTGAAAAATGTGTACAACATTTCTGGGTTTCAATTCAATAAAAGCACTGCTATGCATCTCCTGCTGTAGTATAGAAGTCTCATGCTACCATTCTCTTCTATAGTCCAATAAACAAAGGGGAATGGGGAAACGGTAGAACCAAATTACATCTAATGTGAAACATCACAACAGCAGCAATGTATTTCAGTGTTGTCTAAAAACTGCAACTTTATAGATCTGCATCTTTCTCTCCACATCAATCCTTTTCAATATACAGCTAGTTGCATCAAATGTCCCCAAATCTGTTGAAAAACAGTAATATAATTTCATATATCACTGTACCAATGCATATCTGTAGTGGAAATGTTGTGAAAAGATTTACTAAGTATAAATATAGTGCTTGTATCTGCTAATATATAACAATTAAATAGCGGTCAGTGAAGGATTTGACAGGTGATTTAACTTTTTTGCTTCAATGGAATACAGCTGCTTTTATGTACAAAATCTAGAGATCCAAACAACTGAGTAGTACTACAATTCTTTTTTGCTGCTGTGGAATGAGGATTTTTGTGTTTGGGTTTTTTCAGTAGAACTATAGGTAATTTTATCAAGTATTCAATGCAACTGTAACATATTAAGATGTTTCTTTTAAAGTGATAGCAATATTATCAAGGCTGAATTAATATAAATCTCATTTTACACTAGTAGCAATATAGCAACTCCTCTGCTGAACTGATTTTTAAATTGAGGTCCATTTATGCACTCTGTGGCCTATTGTCACAGAAAGCAAACACACCTACCATTTGAAATAGGCAGGTATTTTTCCACTTATGTTATTGATTATCTCTTACGCTTTTATAGAAAGCTCTTTATTTGATGGAGCTGAAGTTGTATGACTTTGAAAGTAGTCTGTACTTAAAAATACATCTGCTAGTCACACTTACGGACTTTGTATCAATATATCTTAACTGTTATCTTTAACTGGAATATAAATGCATTCATACCTTTTTAAAAAAACTACATTTCTTATATTTTTTAAACCAGATAAAGCCCAATCTCAACAAAGAGAAGCTAATTCTTTTTCCCTGAGTCAAATCAAACAAATATTTCTGATAGAAGCTAGTAATTATCATAAGGAAACTATGCAGAATCCAAAATTGATTTAGAAAGCTTCACTGAGAGAACAGAAACCTCTCAACACTGAAGCACTAGACGTTCTTCCTACAACAATAAAAGTCAATGTAAATGAAAATGCTTTGATGAGGCCATAAGTATCAGGTGAGATTCTGATTATCAAAAATATTACAAGGAGAAGAATATTTTAAAAATTGTTAGAAGGAGCAGAATGTGTAAAAAGCACTCTATTTTCTACACAGTGAGCTGCTAACTCTTATAGTCAGGCTTCCAAACTGCCTTCTGTACACTTTGGTTTTCAGATGGACTGTAGATTTTCAGACTTATTCTACTCCATTTGTTTGTTTATTTCCTTTAAAGTGAATAAAAATTACTATACTCTTTCTTCAGTATATGCAAAGGGAATTAGAATCAAATTTTGAAGTTAGCCTTTACAAGTACATATGCAAACATTTCCCCTTATTGAGTCAGAATTAGATATACAAAGTTTGCACATTGACTGAGTTTTCAAAACACTGACTCACTTTGTTAATAGAAGTTTCAGACAGGAAGAGTCTGCTAAAAAGCTTACAACTTTCAGATATTGTTAGTTACCAAAAAGTACAGTATCCTATTAGCTTTGCCATACTGACAGAAAAGGCAATACATATGGCCTGAATTTTCAGTATGGTCAATGTGTGCATTTCAAAATGAGCCGTTTGAATTTTTAAGAAACTTTTTTAAAAAATTGGCAAGACTCAGGTTTTGAAGTTTTTCAACTCCAATTAAAATATTCCAGCATTACCATATCTATACTTCTCATTGAAAATGCTCAGAAGAATAATGTGACCCAGCTCTATTTTCCAAGCACTCTAGGAGATGATTCTTGATGCAAGAAGTCACAGCTTCCATCAATGATCTTAGAAGTAATATTTTCCCAAGAAATAACAATTAGTTATCTCTTACCGAAAACAGTAATAGCAGAGACAGAAAAGCAATACTGTGAAAGACTTGGTAGGGTAGCAATATGAAGTGACATAATTTATCAGAAAAAAAGTCAAATATCCACTAATTTTAACTGTAATTACAGTTGTTTCAGAACGGCACTAAGTTAATTATTGAATACGAACAGAATTCACAAGGGCCATTGTGGAGGTACTTGTACTGTCCACCGTTGGCAAAATGGCCTGGATAACAATAGCTAGTAAGAAAGGGAGTGTATGCTGTGCGTGTGAATGAAAGGGCATTTGCCCAAAATTAATTACGTTAATGATGATGATGACCGTCAGCCAAACTAAACAGAAGCAGAGAATTAAGAAGGAAGCTTGAAAAGAGTGAGCTTGAATAGAAGTATAAAATAAGCATGAAAATTTGTAAAAGTGGGGAGACCTTGGACTGGAAACAGCAGCAGTCAAAACCTAGTTTTGACACTCCAGAAGTCACCTTGCTGGCATTGCAACCACTGCATAGACCAGACAGAGCATCCTCCCCACTGGATGCTGTGAGTAGCCCACATCCAGCTAGCAGTCTGAGAGTACGGGGTGCAACAAGGAGAAATGTCTTCTCATGGCACGTGCATTAGCAGGTTGTAGGCAGTAGCATGTACACCTACCTATAAAGAACAGCTACATCGCCAGACGGGAGGAATGTGCAAAACTCACTCACAAAAAGGATCAGGGGTGTGCTTATATCCCACCCCTCCACTGGGAGAGGGGCTGCACACATATTACTCTGGGGCAGAGGGTATTAGAACTTTTGGGGATTATTTATGGAAAGGCGCTTTGAAATTTATAGTTGTTTATTAAAACTCTGATATCGATCCTTCATATTTAGGCCACTGATTATCAGTTAGTTACACGTAATTAATAAATCAGTAAACTGCTTCAATACTGTGAACTGAGCTGAGTTTTTCCCAGTGACAATCCATATGTGGCTAAACATATACAGTTCAAGAAAGATACCTGAAAAATTTTACTTACGTAGTATGATCAGTTGATGGGCTGTGTTTTTCTTGCCCAGGGAAGAGGTTTGCTCCTCTTCCAAGTCCCCACTTGAATGTATTTGTGGAGTGGATGGAATCAGTTCCTGATGCCTCTTCTAAGGCTGGCTGATACCATCCGCACAGGGTTTTATCTTCAAAATTGCAGAATTGCATAGCTGTAGAGATGAACAGCAAATACTTCATGTTTATTTTAAAAACTTGAATCATCAACTGACGTTATGATAAAATAAACTACATGGCAATAAAAAATAATTCAAACTAATATGTGTAGTATTTTCTTTACAGATAAAATATCAGTAGTGCTCTATACGTTCTTATTTAGGAGGCAGATTCTATCTTTGGGAATACAGTAAGTCTTTTAAATCTTGGTATCTACCATCATATATGGCTATCAGGTTTCAGGCCACTCTAATTATCTGTTGTGTGAAATACACAGAAATGGCATACAAAATTCACCGATTCTTAATCTGACGGCTGCAGCACGATTCTTTCTTCCGTCCTATAGTCTGATGACATTAGCAACTCATTGTACATTATACACAAAATTCCTTGACAGGAACACTAAAAAAAAAAATCAGTATTTCAAGCAGTCCCCAAAATACCTGAAAGCCACATAATAATGCAACTATTTAACATTGGTGTCCAGTATTGAATTGTTAGTAAATAAACAAACATGCCTCAGTTTTTGGTTCCTGAGTGACTGGAGAGGGAAAGTGAACTTTCTAACGTCCCTCCCTCACAATGCATCCTCCTGGCAAGGATATTCAGAAAAAAACTGATTTTCTATTGCTGTTACTTAATGAATATTTATTCTCTAGTATGCCTTCCTGAACGCTTTATAGAAACTGTGACTTGGCCTCTGTGATCCAAAATGACTCCCGTCACTTTCCAGAACTTTAGAACAGATTTTTATACTTAAGTCTAAGTGACTCCTGTAAGAATTATGCAGAGAAACAAGAATGCATTCCTACCAGCCACCAAGCTCAAAAGCTAGCATAGCTGAGGTAATTTCTGTATGAGTAAATTATATTGTGTTAGTAGAATGTGTCCCATGCTACCTCTCTTGGAGGCCACAGATGGGAGATTAAGGAGGAAGGGGATGTCAAAACAGTTTTGATTTACAGCTTTAAAATTTTCAGTACAGCAAACCACAACCAGTGTGATCTGACCAGTTAGCCATATAAAGATTTGTGATGCTTCCTGACATTGATGAGTGACACAGTGTTAAGTGTTTTTACTTTTTTTTTACATGTTTTATAAAATTACATTTTAAATGCCATTGAGAAAGCATAACCACTTCCTGAGAACATATTTCTGCCCTCAGAAAGGACATACTAAGCTCTTATTCCACTACTATCACTGGAATGATAAATCGCCATCATTGCTGTAGTGATTGTAGACTTCAGAAAGAGCAAATACCTAAAGGTGTATTCTCCACAGTAGTTCTCTTTTTTTAGAAGGAAAGGATGCATTGTAAGACAATGTAAATTTTTGAGGAAAAAAGTCTTCTCTCCAAAGGACTCTCCATTTATTTTTCAATACAGGTTTTCAACGGCTGGTATTTATTCACACTACAGGGAATTATCCATCAGTATTTATAAACCAGCCTCATTTCTTCCAGAGTTATTCCCATGTAAGAAATAAGAAAAGTAACATTAGACTCCCTGCTGCCTGGTTGAGTCCTCAGCCCTGAGAGAGAAGATTGGAATTCCCTACATAATGTATAAGTGTAGAGTTTTGATCATAGTGAGAATGGTTTAGCTTGCAACGGCAGATGAGGTCACTGTCTCTAGATGTCTGTCCCCCTCATTAATCAGCGTCTGAGCAGCAGTATTTTCAAGTATTGTGTTTTCAGGCAAAAAAAAAGTCAATAAAAGTTTCCCTTAAAAGCTATAGTGTGAACTACTGCAACTTAGAAGCAATCAAGAAACCTCTTAGACATCTACAGAAAAAAGTGTGGCAACCTAATCCATTGTCCTAATTCCAATATTCTTATTTCACTATCAGAGCTCTTAGCAATTTACAGGCTGGAATTCATTGTGGAATTCTGTGTAGAGGATGCCATGCTGCATACTCTAGTTGAAGGTAAGCCGCTGGGATTTTCTCTCAGGAAACTTGAAACTTAACACCAGGTTCCTCCATTGACTCAGGATTTACAGATCAGTTAGATGTAGACATCAAATCAAAATCAGTCTTGTCAAAGGAACAAAGAGATGATGACAAAAGCATCCTTATGTCTGCAGCTTATTTCCACACTCTCTTTGGATAAAAATACTTCTCATATTCATTAAAATAGGAAGTAGACTCAAGTCTCCCAGGTGAGCATCCCAGCCATGAGACTACACAGTTACATGCACTTCCATTTTGGACTACTGAACCTTTAAAAAATTTAAATGTGCCATTTAATTTGAGAAACTATGTTCACTTTTATAATTTGTTATGTATAGCTAACAGTCACTGGGAGAGTAAAGATTTTTTTTTCCTATTGCAATAGTAATTTGAAATGGAATATAAATTGTTGAGTCTGTCATTAGAAGGCAGAAAATAAATAACATCTCAGATTCTCATAGTAAAACCAGAGTGCTAGTTTTGGGGGAGGAAAATCACACTGAAAACAATAACTAGGCGCTGATACCAAATGACAAGTGTAAATATAAAGTAGTTAGAGTAGTATGTTCAATATTCACAAACTAATCAGGTAGCAAAGTACAAGATTTAGTTCACTCACCACAACCTGACTCATCAGACTTATCAGAGCAGTCAGGCCTAAAATCACACTTCTGGATCATCTGGATGCAATTGCCAGAGTCTCTACAGACAAACTCCTCCTCTGTGCAGTTGTTCATGGGCAGCGTGGCAGGAACTGAAGTTCCTAATGGAGTTGTAGAGATTGCTGGCAAGTTTCCTTAAAAAAAAAAAAAAAAAAAAAGTGCCCAAAAGAATAAGGGGAGCCTCTTTTTCTAACAATCTGTCCCCAAGCCACTCCAGACCCGCAATGGTATAGCTTTACCAGAAATATGACTGGGTGGCCAAGTAGAATGTCTCAAATGCCACCCAGAAGAAACTGAATTAAATGTATCATAGCCAAGTTTCCCCTATGGAAAGTACTAGTTTGGCCATGCTAGCCAACCATCATTTCCTCAATACGTGAAAGAATTTATGGGAGCCTCTTATCTGTCTTCCAAATTTGGCTGAAATTGGCCAATCTTTCCAAAAAGCTAACACAAGAGAGGCTAGTAAGACATAAAATTAATTTCCTTGTGAAGCAAGGCTAACATTATTCAGATGATAATGAATTTTTTTCAACACTTCGATTACTGCAACCGACCGTGGAAATTACTATGTAACCTTCTTACATTTCATCACTGAAAAAATATTTTTTTTTCCATTAGAAAAAACTATTTTGAGGTCTTGTTATACCACTTGCTTTCTACTTCATTCAAAATCATCACAGCTTCTTTCTAATCCATTGCCTTTTCCTCTTATTCTTTCCTGTGCACCTTCCTGCAGGCTAAACCTGATTCCTTGAAAATTCTTGCTATCACTGTCCCTAAAAGGTCTTTTTATTATACAAGTCCCCTTTTAATCTTTAATGAAATGATTAGCTGTAGTGCACAATGCACCTAAGTAATGCACCTAGTTAATTAAATAGCGTATATGCAGACTTTTGATATAAAATGTATCTGGGCCAGCAAGGAATCATTTTTTCTCTTAAGACCTGGAGCACTAAGACTGAATATAAATTCTCCAGGAGCAGGAGACATATCTCTATTTTGTAAGGTAGAAACCACATATTTGACATCAAGTAAATGACAACGCTAATAATATCCTAGGACTCAAACAAAAGATTTAGGAGGAGGAGCCTTCTGAAAGAATAATTGGATGATATAATAAACGTGTCTACAATTCACAGTAACAGCAATGACCTTATTTGTCAGAAGTTTCTAAATATAGTATGTATCGTTAAAAATTTTTAGATGTATTGAATCCAGAACACTTCTCTCTGATCAGTTTGGATGGAAATTTGGGAGGGAGGCAAGGGAAGGAAAGAGATTTCCAGAGTGGTTTCATAGCATGGGCTAGACACTCTCCAGAAGTAGAAAGGATGTCATGTTCAAGTCCCTGCTCCTTATCCACTGGAACAGAAGAAATTTTAAAGTGCCATAAGTACTATGGACAGATTCACCTTCTTTTTCTCTCTAGAAATAATCAACTTTGTACTGGTTATGAAATGTCATTTTGGCCAGAGCAGGTATCATTGCATAGTCTGCAGTTAGGGCATTCATCTGATCTATCGAAAACATACATGCAAGTTTCTATATCTTTAATATTACATATGTATGACTTTACCCCCATGTGATCCAGCCAATCTCTCCCTGGTCAGTATCTGCTGTTCAAAGTGGAACAATTCCAGCTGGGCAGCCAGTGCTTAATTCCAAGTTGCAGAGATGAAATGTGGGAGTTCAGCTTCAGGTCCCTGATGCAAGTCATATTATACTCAGTAAAATACACTACAGCTATTGCCTCTTTTGCAGGGCTATTCCCACAGTCTCTTTGACTCTTTCATCCCTGGCTGGGATTTTTAGTTTGTGGAGGAACCAGAGGTGGTAAAATAGAGGCAGTAGGAGCTTGAAATGCCTCAAAATTTACTCTCAATACTAAAAGTCCTTAAAAAAAATTTACAGGACACAAAAACTGTTTCCTATTCAGTTCATATACCATTACAGTTGAGCACTTTCATCTTGCTAAGTAAAATAACCTTTTTTTTCTTACATATGAACTTTGAAACTCTGACCCTCTGTACTTTGCAACTTTCTTTCTCTTTTTTTTTTTTTTCACATCTCATTTGTGGACGAGTAGGGTTTTTTTAAACCTGTCCTCAGATTTTCTTCCTCCAACACCAGACATTTTACACTAACTGTGTATTCACTAAATTTTTTTGGAACTAGCCTTTATGTTCAAAGAGCTGTAATAAATGTTGTTATATATTATATAAACTAAACAAAATGGGAGAAAATTATCTACAGGATGCCGCATGCACTTGATATTCCTAATAGACCTAATTATACCTATACGAAATTTTTGGAATAGTGGAAACAAAATGTATCTGCATTAGGATGTTTTAGATCAAGTGCTAAGATACTAATTTGCAGAAAGAAAGACTTTGTTCTAAATTGTTTGCTATTCTGCAGCCCTCTTATGACTGTACCTCAACCATCAGACCATATATAACACTGCAATGTCTGCTGCAGCTAACACTAGTCCTCTTAAAATCCCTTCCATGATGAAACATGACAGGTTTGGAACCACTTGGTGTCTTGGAATAGAATATTTCTGGGTATAATGTTTTACAGTTCTGCAGACATTTTACCGTAGTAGTGACTTCTGAGGACAGGCTGCCCTGTCATTTAAACTGTTTGTGTGCTATAATGTGAGAGCAAATGTCACTGCAAAAATATTTAGAATTACGAGGGGAGAGTAGGAAGGCTGTATCAAACTGATTTTCCTAAATGAAGTCAGTTTGCTTGCATGTAGTCATGTTTGGTTTTCCTCCTAGAAATCATGTTATACTGAGATTCCAAAGAGAGCTTCCACTTTTGAACCCTTCATGCACAGCAGAAACTGTTTCATGCTGTTGCCTTTCCAGAGTGTGAATAAGATCATGAATAAGGGGGTCTGGGAAGGTGGAGAACAAATATGGATTTCATTGTTGGACATGAGTCACAGATCGATCTACCTTGTTTTTCCAGTACCAATACTCATAAAAGACAGCAAAGAATCAGCTCACTGCTAAGAGATGTACACACAACTTTAACTTTGTTCTCACTCACCATTGTAAAGAGTACATGATAAAAAGGACAAGTCATCAATTCCAATGTCGCCAGTGAAACCATCTCCTACAGTACCTTCCACCAAGATCTAGCGGAATAATAATTACAAAAGCATTTTTCAACATATAGCAGACTTCCATTTCTCATTACATATTTTACATTGATTGATAGAAGAGTTATATGCTGTTTCAAACTTTAAATGAACCTAAATTTGAACTTAAATGAACTTTAATATTGTATTTAGTGACACTTTATGAAAGACTAATTACTGTCAGCTTTCTCTAGTGTTTACCTTAATCACAGGGAACTATAACAGTATAGTTGGCTTTACAGCCATGTGCAAATCCACTGAAACATCCTTGTGATATAAAACGATGGCAAGACATTATCGTAAGTGGCACATTATGATTAGGTCCTTTGGTACTTATTGTAATAACATCAATCATGATTAATTATAATAATGTCCGTCTGAATGAATTATATACCCTTATAGGAATCCCACTGCTATGAAAAGAATCAAGTAGATTACATATATGCTCTACAACCCTTTAAAGAAAAATATTATTTATAGCATATTTTAATATATTTTTACAGACTAAATAGTCATTAAAATTGCCAATACCGTATACACTAACTTTCTCATTATTGTCCATTGCCAAGGAATGCGAGAGTTTAGTATTTGTGAAATACTCTCTGGATTACAGAATAAACCTCTTTTATTCTGACTGATGCTGAACTATCAAAATCCTAGCAGGTGAATAGGGACAGATTTACCTTTTTCTTAATTTCACTACCTTATAAAACCTTGATCCTAAAAAAAGCCTCCTCAAAATATATGTTTTAAAAAATATATGTTTTAAAAATATATATATATAAATATTCTTGCTGATCCACTGAGGTTAAAATATTCACGGTATGTCTTTTCCAATTTTTAAAGAAAAATTTATATCATACCTTCCCCAACAATACATATATTCAAGCTTCCAGATCATTCTGGAATGCTGCATAAATTGTAAAATAAATTTTTCACTGTTTATTGCTCAGTTCAGCGGACAATTTCTACAAAGGAATGAAGTATACATAACGACAAAAATATTGCAATAGTGCTTTACATTACTGTTGATTCTAATATTTTTGCAATAATGTACTTATTTGCAATTTTATTTGCAAAGAACATTTACTTTCAACAATTCATTAAACCACTCGTAACTCAAAGATACACGGCACTTCTCTGTAAATAGGTGTCTTAATTGTCTTGATTCAATGTCACTGACATTTTGCAAACACCATCCTTAGATCAACTCTCATTTCAAAAATACAAGCTTGGCTTTTACATTTTGGTATTTCTTTTGTCTTATAGTTAATTAACGCCTGTAGACGATTTCCAATTTCAGAAATCAGCCCTGTATGTTAAACAGGCTACTCAGTAACTGAAAAGCAAGGGAAATAAAAGAATTCTTCTACACATTAGGAGTCATTGTACACACAGCCCTTATCAGCCTTAGTTTAATGTGCAACATGAGGAAAACTTACTTGAAGGTTCAAAAAATGGCCTTAACAATGCAAAAGTAAGAGGATAATATCAGTATTACAATGTTAACAGCAATAAAGTTGTTCCCGCTGTTCTGCAAATGCATATGAACGACAGAGTTTAGTTACTGATCCCAACATTGCCAATGAGAGTAAATAAAAAAGTCAGTTCTATTTATAAATTATATTCTATAGACAAAACAGGTGCCAATGAAAAAGATGATTTTGACTCAGTTTTGATGTACTGATGACTAAAGAACTGCAAGCTGTAGTCTTGAACAATGTTAACTAATATGAGTATATTAAAAGAAGATGGATGTAATTCCATTATTATGAATTTGCTGAAGATGGGTTATTTTAGCATAAAATATGCCTGAAGTGAATGATAACACTAAATGAGGACAATATTGCTTACGGATCCTGTCATTTCAGTATGAGATTCTTACTTTTTCTCTCAGAATATCCACAGAAATCCTTTAAACCGTTAGCCCAGTCTTTTGTTTCCTGTTTAATTTAAAATGGGGAAAAGGCTACAGTAGTTTGTCAGTATCCCCAGCATAAAAATGCTTGGAAACAGGAGAAATCAAGATCTATTATTTGGAAATGTTGTACAATAAAGTGTGTTATACCAAAATAAAAGAAAAAAATCACTTCAGTTTAATCTGAACTGGCAAACATACAGCAATTTAAATAAAAACTTGACTTTGTTTTCTATGCATGAATTATTAACTACTTATATATAATTACTCTAAATGAGCTAAAATTCAGACCAAGAGGCAGAAGGTTTGTTAACCCAGCATATATAGCTGTTACTGCTATTACCAAAACAAAACCAAGCCCCCTTGAAAACACATTATTTTAATAAGGAAATGTGCTGTGCTCTGACTGACGTAAATCAGTGAGTTGCGGGGCCTTTCTCTCTTGATAGTTTCCTTTGCCCATTTCTCCAGACATGATATTCACACATTCTGAGGCTATTCTAACTCATCATCTTGCACCAACCTCTTGAAGAGGTAGCACTCCTGCACTTCAAAAAAAGAGTATTTTTATTGAAGGTATAACAACATCCAAAGATAGAAGTGGCCAGATACAGTTCTGTACGAGTAATAAAACTCAGAATACCTAATTATTGTTATTATGGTGATATTACTTTAAAAATCCCCAAATCAGATTTTTTATTATGCTAATTAATCAGGAAGTCTGACACTATGGCATATAGCATGAACTAAATTAGTAACAGAGAAAAAGTAACAGAGAAAGTGTAGGTCTATGTTGAAACATATTAACTTAGCTATTCAGCAAGAGTCAAGAACTACAAGTCTGGTTCTAATCAATGTTAAGAAGGTGTAATCTAAATGAAATTATGACTTCTTTATTGATTTTAAAAATGAAAAGCATATTGTTTTGCACTTGATAGCTTAAAATTGAAAACAGAATCAATTTTTGAACTAGTGCTGCAGTATAAAATTTAGTCTATCTATCTGAAATCCTGGCTAAACATTGACCGCTTTAATTAATTTGCCGGCTGAAATTCTGCAGACTTCATAAGCTATTATTAAACAACCTCCAGGGCACTCATCTACCATGAAGCTCATTTTACTTATCATTTATTATTTGAATGAAGATAAATAGTTCCCAATTTCTCCAGTTTTTGGAACTTACAGATTCATTCTGAATGAAGGCTATATAGAAGAAGGGAAAAAAAATCCATAAAAAGCAAAATGTATTCGGCAGGCATACTGTATACAGAAAAGGATTGATTCCTTTAGGTTTTGAACCAAACAGGTTTTTGAAAGGGGAAGGAAAATTATGACAAATAGTAATAGAAGAAGTATTACAACGGGAAATACTGTTCTATACAAATGTTTCATTTTTATAATAATCCTCAGTTCTGTTACCAGTCAGTTCCCATTGAAGGTTAGTAAAATAAAACTTTAATTTCCATATGAACATAATCTAAGCTGAAATGGAATTCATTCCAAAAAGTGTGAGGTATTCAAAATTCTGAAGATATCTGAACATCTAGGAAGTAGGAGTGATCTCAGTTCTCACATGTTTACCTAGTATATCTCAGGAAGATCCAACTGCATTACTGATTTTATTATTATTTAGAGCTTGCCGATTTTGATTAGCATTTTCTTATTATTATTTCTGCCAAGCAACCACGTGATTTGTTTTGAAAAATAGGAGAGAAAACCACACAAATGGATAACAGCACAAATAATATTTTGTCATCAAGAACCTTTGTCATAACTTACTGAAAGCAAATTCAGCATAGAAAGAGACATAATTCACTGTATTGCTACAACAAACTAATCCTATGCTTTTAACGATATATATAAAAAGGAAAATACTTCCTAACTTTTCATCCAGGAAAGTGAACAATTTCTTATGACAGTACTTTTGTAATTACAGATACTTGACAAACAAAATATAGAACCATTAGCTGCTTAAAATCCATGTCACAATTTCTTCCTTCGGCAACCTTTTATCAAGATAATCTTCATCCAACAACCATATCCTAAAAAATTTTAACTTTAGAATCATTTTTTCAGAAATGCACGAGCATTCCCACAATATTTCAAGAAGTTCACAAAAATGAGAAACTTTACTTAACAAGTGAGGTGTGCAACCAATCTCTTTGAAAAACTGTGAATTTTGAAAATTTTAGATTTATTTTTGACTTCTTGAGTCAAAAGCCTTAGTGGTTTCTTTGATGACTGAGTCTGAACATGGTAATTTACTTCTCCCCAGTTTTGTTCCTTTTCTTCCTCAGTTGCCATCAAAGGAAGAAATTAGCATCAAGTAGATGCTAATGACAGCTAATTAATGGATTTCATGGTGGACACCTTATTAAGTGTCATCAAAACAACATCTATATTGCTGGACTTGAAAATATTTCCCAAATTTCTAATCTAGGTGTCCAGCCTGCTTACACGGCTGTGAAGTCTTCGTCTGAACCTTCCATGCTATGCTTTCCCTTGGAAGAAAAGTTAGGTGCACTGGAAAAAAGGGTGCCACAGCCTGCCCCTATTTTGAATGACCTGGGGATTGGGACTACTCCACTAGTATGAAGCCTATCTGCCCCCAAAAGTAGGTGCAACGAGGGACAGCCCATCAGGTATTACAAATATAACCAACATGGGGCAACTACAAAATTCTAATGCCACAAGTAAAAAGCTCTAGATTCCACTAAAAAGCTCTAGATTCCACTGTCCATCTTCCAAGCCTTTCAGTCCCCTTCTTTGTTTCCATCAAAAATACATTAGAATCAAATTCCCTGCAACTTTAAAATTTGTAATAATGTCCTTTCACACAGGGATCCAAATGAGTTTATATCAGTGACCTTAAGGATATACAGGATATATGCTTTACTGTGCTCAGCTTTACAAGGTACTGAAAAACTCTGGTTCTAGTACAGTTAAACACTGTATCACACTTCCCTATAAGCTTGTGAATGTTCATGCTAATTTATGATATTTTTCCAAGCATTTCTCTAAAGAGCGGGGAAGAATCACATTTCTTTCCTGTTACAGATCCATAACTTCATTGATGCCA